CCCCGAGCCTTTCCCGGGAGGAGGAGGAGGAGGAGGAGGAGGAGGAGGAGGAGGAGGACGAGGACGAGGACGAGGACGAGGACGAGGACGAGGACGAGGACGAGACGAGGACGAGGACGAGGACGAGGAGGACGAGGAGGACGAGGAGGACGAGGAGGACGAGGAGGAGGAGGAGGAGGAGGACGAGGACGAGGACGAGGACGAGGAGGAGAGGGAGGACGAGGAGGACGAGGAGGAGGAGGCGGAGCAGGCGGAGGAGGCGGAGGAAGAGGAGGAGGAGGACCAACCAAAAAATTGGGCCGTTTGCGGACGCTCCCGAGGCCGGGTAAGGGCCCCCGGAGGCCGGAGCTTGCCCAAAGCCTCGCGCCCTCTTCTGTTTACGACGCCATCCTGCCTGGGGCGGCGGCTGCGGTGGCCGGCGGTGGAGGCTGGGCGGGCGGCGGCGCCGGGGAGGCCGGCCGCGGCCGGGCTCGAGCCCGTGCGCGTGATGGCCGGGGCGCCGCGGGCCCCCGCCCGGCCGCCCTGGCGAGCGAGGCCGCCAGCGCGCGCGGGGCCCCGCGGGGCCGCCCGCCGCGGGGCGGCGCCCGCGCGCCCATGGATGCCGCCCCTTGGTGGCCCCGCTGCGCGGGCCTCGCCGGGCGCCCAGCGCCGGGCGCCCGCCTCGCTGGGCGCGCAGCGCCGCCCGAGCGGGCGGCCCGCCGCGCCGCGCGGCGGCAGCGCGGAGGCCTCTCGGCGGCCCGCTTGCCGGCGTGGGCGTCGACGTCGCCGCCGCTGCCGTCGACGTCGGCGGCGGCGGCTGCGGCGTCGGGATCGTCGGCGTCGGGGTCGTCGGCGCCAGCGTTGGCGTGAGCGTCGCCTCCGCTGCCATGCGGGTCGCCATCGTAGTCGTCGGCGTCATTGGTGTCGGCGTCGTCCATGGTTCGGTCCTTCCTGCGCGCTCCTCGGGGTCCTCCTGGCCACGGTTGGACGCAGCCGGACAGACCACCGGCAGGACGTACCGCAGGCCGGGCCTGACCCGCTTCGAGCGAGTCTCTCAAAGCCCCGAATCATCAGGGCTGAGGGCGGTCAGGGATAGCTACAGATTCGCGCCTCGGGGGCCCAAACCGGAGTTACCCAGCACCGCAGTTATCCCAGATAATTCGGGCGCCCAACCTTCCAGAATCATCAGGGTTGGGGACAGTCAGGGGTGATTGCAGATCGGGGGCCCCAACTGGAGTTACCCCGGACCGCAGTTATCCCGGATACGTCGGGCGTCCAAAGTCTCTTTCGGACGACGGCCCTCGTGGCCGCCAGGCCGCGGCGCCGCCGCGCGCCGCCGCACGCTCGGAGGTGCCGTCGTTCCGCCGAGCGGCTCCGCCGCGGCGGTGGCGCTCGCCGGCCTGGCGGCGGCCCGCACCCGGAGCCGCCGCCGGGCAGCCGGGCGGGGCGGGCCCCTCGGGCTGGGCACGGCGTGCTGGGCCGCGGCGGTCGCCGCCAGCCAACACGCGGAGGGCGCGCGCGCGCAGGAGCCGCCGCGGCGCCTCCTCCTCCTCCTCCCCTCCTCCTCCTCCTCCTCCTCCTCCTCCTCCTCCTCCTCCTCCTCCTCCTCCTCCTCCTCCTCCTCCTCCTCCTCCTCCTCCTGCTCCGCCTCCCGCGGCGTGGCGTGCGCGCGAGACCGCCCGGGAGCCTTCGATTTACCTTCGGTCGCAAATCATGAGAGTTTAGTATACCCTCAAGTCGGGCCTGTCCCTCTACAGGAGGAGTATTCAAACATAGGCGAAAAATGGTCAGAGGGTTATTGTTTGGGCATTTCTTGACTATGCTTGCATATTGGTTCAGTATTTTCGATGTGTCCAAAATCCGCCTGACCTGCCCGACCTAATTTTACCCTCTTGATTCCGTCTTGAGCGTCGATTTGCGTCGATTAGCGTCTGGGAGTCGACGATGTAGCGCCGATTTAGCGTCGATTAACGTCGATTGGCGTCGATGTAGGGTCGATTAGCGTCGATTTAGCGTCGATTTAGCGTCGACGAGCGTCCATTCGCAAGAGTCAACAGGCTTGTATGGGAGGCCCCCATGATTTGCCACCGGAATCTACCACAAAGTTAATAATTGGTTCGCCGATTCTACCCCGATAGATACGCCGAATGCCCGTAGATCTACACCGAGTCGGCGTATGTGTCTCGTAGACTCGAGGAGCTGTGGCTTTCCGGGGCGAGCCACTCCCGCAGCCGAGCCCCTCCCGGTACTTCGAAGCCCTGGCCGTCGCCGGAGGCGGCCCCTGGGCCCGCCGGCGGCCCTGCCCTCTGCAGGGGCTCGCAGGAAAAAAAGCAAGGACGCCCCCGATGGCGCGGAGTTACTCGCGCTTCGCGGTTTGGCTCCGATCCTCCTCCTCCTCCTCCTCCTCCTCCTCCTCCTCCTCCTCCTCCTCCTCCTCCTCCTCCTCCTCTTCCCCCCTGGGAGGCGGCGCGAGAGCACAAAGTGATTCGCACCTCGCGCTTCGCGCAGCGCGAAGCGCGAAGTTGGGAGCCCTCGAGAAAGGCTCGGAGGTTGCTGGACTTCTTGGCGCCCAGGGCCACGACCTCTCTCCTGTCCTGTGCACACTGTTCATGTCTAATTATCCGAGAGCTCGTTGCTTTTTGGGGGGGGGCCAGGATCCTCTCGTTTCCAGTTGTTCTATCCTGGGCCTCCTCCCGGCCGCTAGGGGGCCAGGAACAGCTAGAAACGAGCACAACCAGAAACGAGCACGATTAGAAATGAACGACGTGTACGTCCTCGGCCCCCCGCTGGGCCGCGCACGTGCCGCCCGCCATGACTTGCGCCCCCCCTCCTCTTGGACGCCCCCCTCTTGGACGCCCCCGAACGACGCGAGTGAGCGAATTGGCCGCTTTCGGTTCGCGAGAGGGCGTCGCGGCCGTCCTTTTTGCGGATCCAGGTCCGTCGGTTTCGGTCCTAGGCCGTTCCATTACAGGGTGGTTTATTAAAGGGAGGTTTGTCCAACGCCGAAAGGCGCCACACACGCACATTGTTGGCGCTCCGCGCGGATTCCGCGGGTCCGCGCTGGGGCCCCCCCAGCGGCGCCGCCGGCGCCGCCCCGCGCCAGAGAGGGCGGCCCAGCGCAGATCCAAGAAATCCGCGCGGAGCGCCCAAAGTTTACGCGAATGTTGGTGCTCTCTCTCTTCTAGGGCAAGCCCCAAAAACATACAGGTGCCATCCAGCACTGGGGAGCCTCGACCTCTGAGTGTTTCACGCAGTTTCACGCGGTTTCCTGCCCCTCGCGGGCCACCCTGATAGGATTTCGAACCCTGAGCCAGGGGAGCCCGCAGGGGTGCTCCGCGGGCGGTGAGACAGCAGGCCCACGGGGGCTCACGGGGCCACGGGGGCCAGGATCTCTTGGCTCGGGGGTTGCTCAAGGTGCCCCTGGCCCAAGGTGCCCCCAGCTTGTCGCTCCGTCTTGGAGCCCTCTGGGCCGCGTGACGGGGTGCTCTGGAGGCCGTGGGGGCTTCCTCGGACGTCCTGTGGGCACCTTGGGCCCGGGGCACTTCTAGCAACACCCGACTGGCGTGAAGTCGGGCCTGTCCCTCTACAGGAAGAATATTCAAACATAGTTTTAAATGATACCGCAGAAAAAAAAAACCCAATCAGGGCTATAGGGCTAGGGGGCTACAGGGCTATAGGGCTATTGAGCTATAGGGCTATAGAGCTGTAGGAGGAGGAGGGGAGGAGGAGGAGGAGGAGGAGGAGGAGGAGGAGGAGAGGGAGGAGGGAGAGGGAGGAGGGAGAGGGAGGAGGGAGGAGGGAGGAGGGAGGAGGGAGGAGGAGGAGGAGGAGGAGGAGGAGGAGGAGGAGGAGGAGGAGGAGGAGGAGGGAGGCCGTGGGCGCCTCCTCGGATGTCCCGTGGGCGCCTTGGGCCGGGGGCACTTACCGGCAGCACCCGACTATACGGCGGCCTCGCCGCAGAGGAGGCGGGCCCCGGCGGCGCGGCGGACGCCGAGGGCCTCGGGGGCTCGCTGGTGCAGGCCGCCGCGCGGGGGCCCGCGGGCCTCGAGGAGAAGGCCAAGGCTCGGGAGGGGGGAAAAACACAAACACACACAGACACACACACATATATATATATATACAAACACACACACACACACACACACACACGCACACACACGCACACACACACACACACTTTCAAACACACACACACACAAACACACACACACACACACCAACACACACACAGACACACACACACACACACACACACACAGACACACACACACACAGACACCAGCACACACACACACAGACACACACACACACACTGAGACACACACACAGAGACACACACACACACACACCAACACAAACACACACACACACACGCTCACACTCACACTCACACTCACACTCACACTTCCACTTACACTTACACTTACATTTACACTTACATTTACACTTACACACACACACACACACACACAAACGCACACACACACAGACACCATTCATCCTTGGCTCCCAGGAAAAAAGATAAGTATGGGAAAGTGTTGGAAGCGGGGGGGAAGACGAGCACACCCAGCAGGTGTGGGGGAAGATGTGGGGAAGCCTGGGATCTGTGTCCGTTCCCCGACGTGCGACGTCCTGCTTTTTTCAGGACGGCGTCCCTGGAAGTCCCGACCCTTTCCCCGGTGCTGGTTTGTCATCCTGAGTCCTTTTGTGACGGTCCCGAGGCCTGGGCGAGGGCCCCCCCGGGCCGAAAATAGCCAAAATTCCCCGTCCTGCTTTTTTCTGCGACACGATCATGTCCGGGTTTATTGATGTGTCCCTGGTTATGTGTCTCTGGGCTCAAGTCGAGCCTTGTCCTCTACAGGAGGGAAGTTCAAAGATAGTCAAAAATAGTCTGGGTGCGATTTTTCGATTGTTTTTTGGGGGGGCATATTGTTGAACACTTTCTGACTATGCTTTGATTTTTTTGTCCCACATCGGCCTGTAGGGGGACACGCCCGCCCTAACCCTGGGCCCCCTCAGAGGTGGCCTACAGCTTCATCGGCGAGGCCGCCAGCGCCGGCATCGCGGAGTACACGGCCACGGGCGACTTCGCGGCCGTGGCCCGGGGCGCCGCGGCCCGCCGGCAGGCGCTGGTGGAGCGCGTGGCCGAGGAGCTCCGCTCCGGCAAGGCGGACGTGGCCTCCGTGAGGGGAGCGAACAGCGGCCTGAGCTCTCGGAGCTCCGCGCGGAGCTCTCGGCTCCGCGCTGGGAGCCCCCCTGGCGGCGCCCCCGGCGCCGCCCCCGGCGCGCCCCTCTCCGCGCGCCGGGGGCGGGGGGCCCCAGCGCCGAGCCGAGAAGGCTGCGCGGGCCTCTGCCGAGTTTCTGTTGCTCATGCCATGGTTCGTCCCCCTGCCCGTGGCCGAGTATCTGGTGGACTCCGCGCTCGCGAGGGCCGCGCGTTGCGTCGAGGGGGGCGGGGGCGTGTACGCCGAGCTGTGGGCTTGCGACGAGGGCCGGGCGTCCGTCGACGTGGCCCCGCGGGCCCCGGAGGGCCAGGCCGTCGGCGGCGCGGCCGGCTCGGCGGAGGAGAGGAGCGCCCTCCGGGAGGCCCGCGCGGCCAAGGATATCCAGCGGCGCCTACGGCCATCTCCCGCCTCCCGCGTGCCCAGGCCTCGCTGGGTTGCGTCTCGGGGCCGCCGTTTTTGGGGGATCCTGGGCCGCGTTCGGGCTGCGCCTCGGGGTCTCATCATCATCATCATCATCATCATCATCATCATCATCATCATCATCATCATCATCATCAGCAGCAGCAGCAGCAGCAGCAGCAGCAGCATCAGCATCAGCATCAGCATCAACATCAACATTATCATCATCACCACCATTATCATCATCAGCATCATCACCGTCATCACCGTCATCACCGTCATCACCGTCACCATCATCATCATCATCATCATCATCATCATCAGCATCAGCATCAGCATCAGCATCATCAGCATCATCATCAGTATCAGCAACATCATCATCGTCATCAACATCATGAACATCGCCGCCGCCAACATCAACACCACCATCATCATCATCAGAATCATCGTCGTCATCAACATCATCATCACTATCACCAGCATCATCATCATCATCATCATCATCATCATCATCATCATCATCATCATCAGCATGATCACCATCATCATCAACATCATCGGCATCATCGTCATCAGCATCATCTCCATCATCAGCATAATCGTCATTGTCATCATCATCATCATCATCACCATCATCATCATCATCATCATCATCATCATCATCATCATCATCATCATCATCATCGGGGTGCCTCATCATCATCATCATAAGCATCATCATCATCATCATCATCATCACCGTCATCATCATCATCATCATCATCATCACAATCATCATCACCATCATCATCATCACGATCATCATCATCATCATCACCACCATCATCATCAATATCATCATCAGCAACATCATCATGACCATCACCATCATCGTTATCACCACCATCATCGTCAACGTCATCGTCATCTCCATCATCATCCTCGGGGTGCCTCTTGGACTGCGCCCCGGCACCCCTCGGGGGCCCCGCCCGGTGCCAGGAGGGCGCCGCGGGAGCGCCTCCGAGGGCTCCGCGCCCGAGGGCCCCCGCGGCGAGGCTCCGAGGGGGCCTCCCGAGGGCCCTCCGCCTGGGCGGCCGCGGCGCGGCGGCGGCGGCTCCTGGTGGACGAGCAGCCCCGCGCCCGGGGGCCCGACGCTGCAGCGCTGCGGCCGCTCTTCGCGCGGGTGCTGCCGCACGTGTTCGCCCGGCCGACGTTCTTTGCCCTGCTGGACGTGTTCGAGGCGCCCCGACCCTCGAGGGACAGACATCGGCACGGACACAGTCTTGAGTCGGGCCTGTCCCTCCCTGCAGGAGGGATACTCAGAAATAGTCAAAAAATAGAGTCTTGAGTCGGGCCTGACCCTCTAGTTACTGCAGGAGGGATATTCAGAAATAGTCAAAAGATAGTCTGGGGACGATTTTTTACAATTTTGGACCATGATGGGACTTGTTTTGACTATTTTCATTTGCTCGTCCAAATTCGGCCTGCAGGGGGACAGGCCCGACTGAAACATAGTCTGTTTGGGGCTCCTCGCGGATGTCCTGGATCGGCTCTGGGCCGCTCTTGTATCGGGGGAGCGTAAGACCCGGGTTTGCCGGGACTCGGGTTCGCCATCGTTTTTTGACGACCGCGACTCGGATTTTGACGAGGAGGAGTTTCGTGGGATGTCTGCAGCGGGAGGCCTCGTCAAAATGCAGGCTCGGCCTCGTCATTTTTTTGGCGACCTCGTCGGGGATTTCCGAGTCCCCCGTACCCGGGTCTTACGTCTCCCCGATTGTAGAGCACTTCCATCGCCGCCCCTGGCGCCGCTCCGCGCGCCAGGGAGGGGGGCTCCAAGGCAGCTCCAAGGCATCAAGGCGCGCGGAGCTCCACAGGTTTATGTTCATGCTGTGTTTTGTTTCTCCTCTAGAGATCCGCGCGTCGCCTCTTTTGTCACAACGGGCGAGTTTGCCGTGGTTCTGGCCTCGGGGCCTTTATGGATCGATGCGGATCGAAAAATGCCGCAGAACGGCGGGATCTGTTGGGAACGCCGCGGGGGTGCCATAGGTTGGATACGTACACCCCAAGTTTGCCACTTAGGGCACGCGCAACCCACGATAAGCCAGGTTGGACAGGTATCACCACCTTGGCATCCGCTTGTAGACCTGAGATCCGACTCCTCGAAAAAGTTGCGGCATCGCAAACTCGTTAGCCAACGCGCACCGCGAACAGCACGTATGTGCCTGGCAATAGTTGTGTTGCAATCGTCGTGCAGCAATATATTTGGTAAGGCCAATGTGATACATCCCACGTCGTGCAATACATATGTATATATATGTATACATACCTACATATACACATGTATATATATGTGCGTATATAAAAAAAGGGTTGTGCCACCTATGATGTGCAATGGCTGTGGTTCAATATATGTGTATATATACATATATATATATATATATATGTACATATATATATATACATACGCACGGCGCGACCTATGGTTTGCAACCTATGTGGAGCCACTTACGCGGTGCAATATATGAGTTTATGTGGTGCAACCTACGCGGCGCAGTCGATGTGTTTCACTATGGGTGTTGCATCGTATGGTGTGCAATCTACGTGGTGTAATTGGTGTTTACAATCGAGTTGACACATTCCATGCAAAACTTCCCACCCACCCACCCGCAACTTGGTGTGCGAAACCCATGCGGCGGCGATTGCGATGAATGCTTGGCGTTGGCTGGCGCATCTCCGCGGCCGCGCCGACCCAAGCACGCGCGCGCAGCGGCCAGCTAGTTTGGCGCGACCGACGCGGCCGCGGTGGCGGTGACCTTTTTGGGCACATCCCAGCAGGCATTTCAATGCGAGTCGGCGACTTGGGCGGGGGCGGTATCATGGCAACGTCGACAACGGTGGACACGATGATGAGAGTAGCGATGCTGGTCACGATGCGGCGAAAATACGGCGACGCGGCCCGTGACGGCACCGATGCTGATCACGCCGACGACGATGACGGCGTCCTCGCGTCGGTGATGGAGGTTTCGGAAAGAGTTCGACATGCGCGCGCGGCCGACGCGCGACAGTTACCCGCATGGTGTGATTTGAGACGGATCGTGCCCCCCCCCAGCACGCGCGCAAGGACGTGCGAATGATTTCGGCATGCGGCGCGATAGGCGCGTTTGGCAGAATTCCATACCAATGCAGATAAACGGTTCTTCTAAAGATTCGCAAGAGCGCGAGTGCACGTTTTTTTTGAACCTTGATTTTGCGAAAGTATGTGGTTTCGTTTGTTGCTTGGACACTCGGCTTTGGAATCGCTACAACACCGAATATTTGTGACGGATTGTGTCACGCGCGCGACGACGCGCGCTTGCGCACTTCGTTTCATATGTTTGCGAAAAGTTTATCGCGACAGCACGCGCGCAATGGCGCCCGTGCGATTTCGACATGCGCGCGCGAAGCCCTGTTGGCAGCATGTTATGGACATGCGGTTTTCTCAAGAATCCGCAACAGCTCGAACGCAAGTGTTTCTGTATACCCGTGTTGGGAAACCCTGTGTTTCATAACGTTGTTTGGACCGTCGATTTGGGAATCGTTACAAAACCGATGTTTCTGAAAGGATTCCGGCATGCGCGCGCGACGACGCGCGCGTGCGCATTTCGTCCCACTTCTTGCGCGGGATTCCTGAAAGTTGCTGATCCGGCTCGCTTGGGATGGTGAGAACTCATTGGGAAAATAAGCATGGAGGCACAACCGTATGTAAATTTCAACACGCAAGGCCGAGTTGACAACCCCAGGGGGTGGTGGGGATAGAAATGGATTTCCTTTAAGAGAGGGGAATCGATGTTGCGCGCTGTAAATTAGTATGTACATACACACAAGTGTCTACAAATATATGGAGCAATCTACGCGGTGCGACATAGACGCGGTGCAACTCATGTTGTGCAATCCGTGCTTGGCGGCGGTTGGGCGGCGACGGGGCCTCGACGGCGACAACAGCCTCCAGCCCGGCCTTCAGGCCCAAACGATGGGCGACGACGAGGCGGCGACGGGGCGGCGACATCGACAACATAGCCGCCAGACCGACTCCTAGGCCAGTTACTTAGAGACAAAGCAAGGACCCCTAAGTGCAAGCACTGTTTGGGGAATCGCGGCCAGAACCTGGGACTCATGTTTCTGCGAAATCATTCACAGCGGATCGATCTGTGAGAGTCCCATGGAAGGCCCAAAACCGAGCGAAAATTCCAGGCTCAAACAAATTAAGACGCCAGGATCTCAGGGTAGCCCTCGTATCCAATCAATAACCCCCGCGGCAATTCCAGCAGGGCTCCGGTCGTGACCTTTCGCGATGTTGAAGCTTTCTCGCGACGTCGGTTCTCGAGGTGTTCCGCCGCCGCGGCGGGCGAGGCAGCAGCCAGGCCTACAGCGGCGAGGACCGGAGCCGCATCGAGGCGTTCTTGGACACGATCGACCGGACGCCCGTCATGAAGCGGTGCTTCGGTCCCAGACATTCGGGTGTTGCTGGAAGTGCCCGTGGCCCAAAGTGCCCCAGGAAGTTCTTCCAAGGAGGCCCCCATGGCCTCCAGAGCACCCCTCACGAGGCCCAGAGGATCCCAGGGGAACCAAAATGGAGCGAAAACCTGGCCTGCTCGCAGGACCCTTACGAGCAAGCCCTCCGTCGGGTGCAGGATAGTGCTGAAGGTTGATGGGTGGTTTGCGCCGGTGGGCCCCCGCCACGCACCATGGCGGCGACACCAGTGTACGGCTGAAGGGCGTACACGTTGGCTGCGCCGTGGGGCGGTCCTTCAGACCTTCCGAGCCCAGCGCGGCACCTTGGGCCATGGGCACTTCTCTAGCAAACCCCGAGGCATGTTGAATGTAAGCCCCGGTATGGTAAACGGGGACGGGGGGGGGGCCCGTCATCTGTCGGATGGGAGCAGCGCTCCCGGCGCCGAAAGATGTATGATTCTTCCCTTCTCGGCTGCAGCGGCTACGCAGCTGCGGCGTTTCCATCTTTGTTGCTTTCTATGACTCGCGTGTTGTCGACCGACGTGGCTCCAGCGTTTTCGGGCCGCTCCAACATTTATTATCCGTAAGGGCTTCGCCCCCTGCCGCCAGTCCCCTCTTTCGGAGAATGTGGAATGCAAGAGCTATGTTGTGAGGCCTGGGCGCCGTCGCGAAGGAGCGTCGAAACTCCGAACGGAGGCCACTGGAGATATGAGCGTGCCAAAATCCATCAAAAGCTGAAGAGAATCGCAGATGTTACCTCATGGGCCCCTGCGGGGGGTACTCTTGAAGCGCTCTTGGGCCGTCTTGGGACCATCTTGTGCGCCTTGGAGCACTCTTGGGCCGCCTCGGAGGCCTCTTGTACCGTCTCGGGGGCCTTTTATAAGGGACTGCGGCCTCGAAAGCACGAACATTGCATACTGTACAAGGGCTTATGGTTTCGGGGACGCAGATGTTGCATCATTCACGACAAAAGATTGCCTCGGAGACGCGAATATCGAGTTATTTTACAGTTATGGATCCATATATATATATATATATATATATATGTATATGTGTTATTCTATGAAAATTGCCTCTGATGCGCGAACACAGCGTAGTTTGCGAAGGTGTATGGCCTCGAGGACGCGAACATGCTGTAATATACCAGGGATTGTGGCCTCGGGGGCGCGAATGGTATAACTTACAGGGGGTTATGGCTTCGGGGGTGCGAATCTCACGGGTTCTTACGTGTCCCAGAACCCCCCGGAAATTTTGAGAACCCCCACAGGTGGTGGTGACCAGGGCCTTTTTCGGCTCCCCCCCTCTCGCGCGGACTTCAACAATTCAAAGGGAGAAGCAGAACGCAGGATGATAACATGGAAGAGTTGAAATTGGAACAGGATCAGGAACAAGCAAGCATAACCCGCGGAGCCTTGTGGCCCCACAAGGGGGCCAGCGGATCCTTGTCCCCAAAAGTCGCCTTGCTTTTGAATTCACAGTGCAGCGTGAGAAAGCACGACTGGGCATTTCGGCCCAAGAAACCATTCGGGATGAAACAATGTTTTGGGGAAAGGGTCGGGACGTCTGGGGATCGCGTATTGAACAAATCGATACATCGCACTTCTGGGGGGCGAGCGTCCCCGGAGGTCCGTGTAGCGCGTTGCCGTCTAGCCTCGGGCCCCGGGACTTTCAGGGATCGACCCAGTGTCGGAACAACGGATCGCGCTCTGCAACTCTTTAGGGCAAATGTTTGGTTTTTCGATTTGATCTCGACATTTAGAGCATCTACAGACTAGCATTGTAGACGAATATGTTCCGCAGCATCAGAAGCCTACGTTCACCTGATCCAACAGCTGAGATCGATTCGGCAGTGCCGCAGAAAGCTGGGGCCAAGGGCTCTAGTCGCGATATTCTCCAGCATGCTGACACTAACTCGTGGCACAGCGTTCCGGAACGCTCTCAGCGCGATCCGCAACGCTTTGGATAAACTTGCAGAACCCACCAGATCTCAGAGACTTTCGATCTGTCCTGGTCCGATGTGTCCCAGTCTTGGTTTCGTCTTAGATTCTCTCGAGGGCCGCCCAGGTCTGGGCCACGCCACGAGTTCGTGGCGTAGCCCATGGCGTGTGCACGGGGCCGTCGCTGGGGTCCAGGTTACGGTAGGGGCGATCGTTCAGGAATGTGCCCAGGCGGTTTCAGTCCATGGAGGGCTCTTTCTCTACTGAGAGTGGTGGTGCTATCCATGGCCAATCCACGATTGCAGATCCACCAGATTCCAGGCCCTGGGTTCCTTCGTCGTTACCGTCGTCTCCGTCGTCTCCGTCGTCACCGTCGTCGCCGTCGTCGCCGTCGCCGTCGTCGTCGCCGTCATGGTCGTCGTCGTCGTCGTCATCGTCGTCGTCGTCGCCGCCATCGTCACCGTCGTCGTCTTCGTCGTCGTCGTGGTCGTCGTCGTCGTCGCCGTCGTGGTCGTCGCCGTGATCGTCGCCGTCGTCATCGTCGTCGTCGTGGTCGTCGTAGTCGTCGTTATGGTGGTCGCCGTCGTCGTCGCCGTCGTCGTCGCCCTCGCCGTCGTCGTCGCCGTCGTGGTCGTGGTCGTCGTCGTCGTCGTCGTCGTCACTCATCGTCACCGTCGTCGTCTTCGTCGCCGTCGTCGTCGTCGTCGTCGTCATCACCGTCGTCGTCGTCGAAGCCGTCGTCGTCGCCGTCGTCGTCATCGTCGTGGTCGTCGTCGTCATGGTCGTCGCCGTCGTGGTCGTCGTCGTCGTCGTCGTCGTCGTCGTTGTCGTCGCCGTGGTCGTCGCCGTCGTCGTCGTCACTGTCGTCGCCGTCGTCGCCGTCGTCGTCGCCGTCGTCGTCGCCGTCGTCGTCGCCGTCGTCGTCGTCGTCGTCCGCACCATGTGACGGCGGGCCCCCGAGGTGCCGCGCCGAAGCGGCGAACCTCAAGGGGCGCGCCCTCTCGGGCGGCGAGTGGCGTGCCGTCCTGTGGCGCATCTGGTTCGAGCTGCCCAGCGAGGGCAGGTCGGCAATGCGCGGGGAGGGGCGGAGGGTTGCTCCGAAGGGCTTGGGCGACCCGTCCTCCTCCTCCTCCTCCTCCTCCTCCTACTCCTCCTCCTCCTCCTTTCCTCCTCCTCCTCCTCCGCCATCCTCCTCCTCCCTCCTCCTCCTCCTCCTCCTCCTCCTCCTCCTCCTCCTCCTCTTCCTCCTCCTCCATCTCCTCCTCCCCCTTCCCCTCCTCCACCTCCCCCTCCTCCTCCCCCTCCCCGGGTCGCCAACGGTCCCCGGGGTCCCGGGAGGAAAGCGTGCCGAACGGGGGGACATGTAGATGTGCGTTTGGGGGAATTTCCCCGGGGCCCACCTAACGGATCTGTTCGACTCTAGTTCGACCCCAACTCGATTCAAGTTCGATGCAAGTTCGGCTCAAGTTCGACTCAGGTTCAATTCAAGTTCGACTCTAGGTCGACTTGAATCGATGGACGTTCGATGCAGCTTTGCGGCCAGGGGGGGGGGATACACCGGGCCCCAGAGCCATGACTCGAAAAAGAAAAGTGCCATGAATATAAATTGTCGGCGCTCCGTGCGGATTTCTTGGATCGGCGTTGGGACCCCCTTGGCGCGCTTTGCACGCCAGGGAGGGGGGTACAGCGCAGATCCATGAAATCCGCGCGGACCTCCAAACGTTGATGTTTATGCCGTTGCTTCTTCCTCTAATGATGTTCAAGTTGTCTTTAGCCTCGATCACCTGGAAAAACTTCGAGCACCAGGAAAGTACCGAAACTGCAGGGTTTGCACGTGTCGGGCCCTGGGCGGCGACACTCGTTCGACACTTCGCCAGCGTGCCGGGCAGACACTGCTTCGTTTTTTCTTCTGGGTGTTCGGCATGATCTCTGGGATGTGGTCCTCAAGTACGATGGGCACAATCCAACCCCAGAGTCCAGACCGCGAGGGCGTCGATGTGGACACGTTCGCCGCTCGTGAGAGGGGCGGGGCCGGGCCAGCGACCCTACGGTGACTTCGTGTCGAGCTGACGCGGCGGCGACGCCAGCACGGGCGTGCAAGGCTGAACGCCGCCGGTTGCTGGGAGCCGGCCTGCATCGAGCGGTCTTGCGCGCTCGGAGAGTCTCGGCCACACGCGGAGGGGGGCAGGGGTCCTCCTCCTCCTCCTCCTCCTCCTCCTCCTCCTCCTCATCCTCGGAGGAGGAGGAGGGGGGAAGGCTTCTTAGGAAGCACCCCTGCTTCTCAGAATCCGGCGATCGCAAACATGGACGAAGGGGGCGTGGATTGGCGACGGGTCCCGTTTCCATGGGGAACCGCGGACTTCCGTCAACGAACGAGGCGGCACCGGTCGCATGTTGGGGAGGGCACCTCCCCCGATCCATGGATGTGGCGACCGCGCGCCAAATCCATGGATCGCTAATCCATGTTTGCGCGTCTCCGACAGAAGGGGCGGGCCTTCTCTGTAGATGTAAGGCCTGCGTTTTCTAAGAAGCAGCGTCCTTCAAAGAAGCCCCCCCCTCCCCCTGATTACACCCTTGTGCGCGCTGGCGAGGTGTGGCTTCGAGCACGTGTTCGTGGGCGAGGCGTCCGTGGACGCCCGCGGTCGAGAGGTTCACAGGAGGAAAAGGTGATGACCCATACCCTTACCCTTGCCTCGTTGTCGCCTTTTGGGGCCTCTTGGGAGGCCCTCGTCGCCACAGCTGGATTCGCCTCGAAACTTTGGTCAGAATGCACCCCTGGAGATGTCCGGGTAGTAGCGGTATCGGTTTTTTTTGCCTCCCCAGAGGTGGTGGGCGGCCTCCACAATTGGTTCAAGTTCTACCTGGAGGAGCTCCTCGGGGAGGAGGACGGGGATGCAGACTGGAGCCAGCTGCGGGGCTGAGGTGGGTCGCCACGGATGGGCGCGGCTTGGACAACAAATGTTCGGCCCCGGGAGCACAGTCGACCCGCCAAGTAAGGATAGGCATCCCTCCCAAGGGGGTACCCCTTGCATCCGTGCCTCCTGGGTCCACCCTTGGACACTTTCGTTGGCCGCGCCCCGCTCGAAACGCTTCGAAATGGGCGTCCAAGGCCCCTGCAGCCTTGTCGCACATCCTTACTATGCGGGTTGATTGTAGTTTGGGGGCCGATTTTGACTTAGTCGACCCTCGTCCGAGTGGGCTTCTCCAGCGCGGGCCCCACGGGCCTCCTCCAAGGCCAGAGATCCGTCTCCGAAAAAAGATCGGAGTTCTTCAATCCCAGGGGAGGAGCTCTCGGAGAGGAGGCCGAGGCGCGGTCGTGCCGTGACAAGAATCCACGATGGATTGTGCTTGGCCATGTTCGGCCTCGGGGGGGCCTCGCTGGGCCACGGGACCGTCAACAAAATCATTCGGGGTGCAAGATCGAGCTTGGAGACAGGGTCGGGACGTCCCGGGACCGCGCATTGAACAATCAAAAGCGGGCTCGGGATGAAAAGCTGGCCTTGGGGAAAGGTTCGAGACGGTTAGGAACCGCGTGTTGACAAAAGTCAAGAATTCACATGTTTGGAGAGGGGGACCCATACATACGAAGGATTATTTGTCGTTCAATTCCGGTGTTGTTCCTTCCATCCGGCCTTTGGGTGTCGTTCTTTGGCTTGCGAGCCATGCATCAAGCACTGATCCGGGGCGAGAAGCGCCCCCCTGGGGGAAAGCGAACAACTGCAGCAGGTGCGCGTCCTGACGGCCGCGGCGGCGACCCCGCCGCGGGCCTTCAGGGTCGACCGCCGCCAGTGGGCCAGAATCAGCTGCCGATCGATCGCGGAAGGTTGATCCACGCGGTTGCAGGAACCGGCGCGCAGGCCGTCCCGGCACGAGCCGTCCGTACAGCAAGCCCGCCTCGTATGGATGGGCAAGTTTCCCAAGGGTGCCCCTTGCACCCTGGCCTCCTCCGGTCCATCCTCGGCCACTTCCGTTGACCGCGCCCCGCTCGAAAAGCCTCGAAATGGGTGTCCAAGGCCCTGGCATCCTTGTCGCGCCTCCTTATGATACGGGACGGCTGTATGTTCTTCTGTCCCGGGCCCGACCGTAGTTGAGGAGGAGAAGGAGGAAGAAGAAGAAGAAGAGGAGGAGGAGGGAAAGGGGGGGAGGAGGAGGAGGAGGAGGAGGAGGAGGAGGAGGAGGAGGAGGAGCAGGGGGAGGAGGAGGAGAGGAGGAGGAGGAGAGGAGGAGAGGAGGAGAGGAGGACAAGGAGGAGGAGGAGAAGGAGGAGGAGGATGAGAAGGAGGAGAGGAGGAGGAAGGGAGGAGGAAGAGGAGGACGAGGAGGAAGGAAGGAGGAGGAGGAGGAGGAGGAGGAGGAGAAAGGGAGGAGGAGGAGGAGGAGCAGGAGGAAGGGAGGAGGAGAAGAAGGAACATCCTTGTCGCGCCTCCTTGCTATACGGGTTGACTGTGCCCCTGGGGCCGCGGACAGAGCAGGCCCCCTCGCCAGATAACATCCGCCTGGGGGGTCGCAGGCCGTCGACGCTCCTGGTCGGCTCCTCTCGGCCCCCGGCTGCTGCTCTCGGTGGCCTGCTTCCCCTTTTCGGCGCCCGGACAAAAGGTGACACGCCGACGGCGTGAAGACGACCAGGCATAATGGCAACGATAATTGCAATATACATGTGGCTCGCCCCCTCGCCCCCAGACCCAAAATCGAAGTGTCCACATTTTGTCCCCCGCGCGTTGCCTCGCACCCAACCCTGTCAACTTTGGGCTGGGGGGGCGGGGGCTATGGATATTTGTTCGACGCAATTCGATGTCGTATCATATTGGCGCGATGGGTGTGGACACTTTTTGTCCACCCATCGTTGTCATGTCGCCAGCATCGCAGAGCGGATCTCGCTCGGAAAATAATGGGATGGGCCCGGAGAGTCCTGGAGAATTGCGTTCCGGGATTTCGAGGCGAATTTCGTGCGGATTTTTTGGCCAGGAATGAAGACTAGCAACAAAATCCACGCGAAAATAATTCCGTTTTTCACTCGCCGCTTCATTGTTTTTTGCATTGACAGAAATCGATGCAAAAATCCGCTGCAGCACGTCTGCAAGGTCGGTGCAGAGACCATTGGGGTCGGTTTTTCGCGTTCTGAGTGTTGTTCCCCCCACACACAGGTTGAGTGTGGCCCTCGTTTCCCAGACCTCCCCGCGTCGTGGAGAACGTCACGACGGAAGGTGTTTCGCTTTTGTTCGGCCTCCGGGGAGCCCTTCCCGGGCCTCGGGACCGCAAAAAAAGCACTCAGGAGGAAAAATGAGTGCCAGGGAGAGGGTCCAGACCTTTGGGGATCGACGTTGTGAAAAAATCATGACGTCGGGGGCCTGGGTTTCTTCCTAGGAGGAGGACGCAGACAAGGTTCGGGGCAGGAGTTATGGAGTCTCCAGGGGTCATCGGGGATCTCCAGCTGTCGAGGTTTAGAATTCTGCAGGCCCAGACGGGGTCAAGACGCCCAACCCTTCAGAATCCTCGACCGTCGACCTTGATGATCGAGGGGCAGGAGGAGGAGGAGGAGGAGGAGGAGGAGGAAGAGAAGGAGGAGGAGGAGGAGGAAGTGGAGGAGGAGGTGGAGGAGGAGGAGGAGGAGGAGGAGGAAGAAGAAGAAGAGGGGGAGGAGGAGGAAGAGGGGGAGTGGAGAAGGAGAGGAGGAGGAGGAGGAGGAGGAGGAGGAGGAGGAGGAAGAAGAGGGGGAGGGGGAGGAAGGAGGAGGATGGGGAGGACCCTGAGATCCCATGCCGCGAGAGAGACAACATCGCTGAACAGAACCACGCCCCGCGCGCCGCGAACTGGCCCCGAGGACTGCCCTCCTCCAGGGCGGCCTCGCGAGAGCGCGAAGAGCACCGCGGGGCGCGGTGCGCGAAGTCGTGGTGGTCCAGAGTTGAGTCGGGCATGTCCCTCGTCAAGAGGATTACTCCAGAATAGTAAAGATGGTCTGGTGGTGATGTGTCGTACTCTTTTTGACTATGTTGGACGTTCTATTTGACTACTCGTCGCTTCGCTCATTCCGCTGGCCCATCTTGCATTATTGGTGCTATAGGTGTGTGTTCGTGGCGAGCGAACAGGTGAAGGAGGAGGACGAGGAGGAGGAGGAAGAGGGGGGGATGAGGATGAGGAGGAGGTCTCTGGAGAGCTTCTTGTGTCAGGCGTGCCCCTCTACAGGAGGGCTGCTCGAGAATAAGAGAGTATAGCCTGGTGACGATCCGTCGTGCTCCCTTTTGACTATGCTTGACATGCTGCTGACGACTTCTTTCTCCCAAGACCCGCCTGTCGGAGGACACGCCCGACCCAAGCCCAGGGGCCAAGAGGCCCAGGCCCCGCCCAGAGGAGCAGAGGGGCGCGGCGCAGTACCTGGGCCAGCGCTACCCCGGGCGCGGCAAGGCCGCCGCCGGCCTCAACCCGCGGCTCTCCGGGGCAAAGTTTTAAGCTGGGCATTCAAAAAGAATTGAAAAAGACGGTGTGGGGACGATGTGTTCCAGCATTTTCTGCGCGATCTTCTGCCTATTCTTTCATTCTTCCTCCAAAATCCGCCTGTGGGGAGGCACGCCCGATCTGAGGCAACGCTTGGGGGTTGGGGGGGGGGGGGCGGCGGCGATCTGAGATGTTTGGCCCGGCGTGTCGCTCCGCGGCGTCTGAGATGCTCGGGCGAGGCGTCGTCGGACCTCGGCGGCGCCCTGGCGATGGAGGTGCCCTCTGGCGGCCGCGCCTCGCCGGGAGCGCTGCTGCGCGGCGCCGCGGAGGTCGCCCCGAGCGGCCGCGCGGAGGCCCGAGCGGGGTACGGTAGGTTTGCGTCGTGTCGACCAGCGGCGACCCCAGCGCGGACGTTCAAGGTTGAACGCCGCCGGCGACCCAGAATCGATCGATGTTGAACGATCGGACGTTGCGGCAGCGGCCGATCGTTCAAGGTTGAAGGATCCCCGCGGTGTCAGAAACCAACGCCGGGGTCGACACGACGCGAACCTGCCGTAACTTTTAGGGCCCAGCTCGGGCCCACCGCGCTCCGGCGCGGCGCGGCCTCCAGGCTTTGGCATCGGGAGGGAGAGCAAGCACACAGACACCTATGGTGGGCCCCAAGGAGGCCCCGACCACATCCCCAGGGGCAATCTTCTGCCCTGGATCCATTTTTGATGACCCTGGAGATCGACAACGGGCTCCAGACGCCGATATCGAGGAAATCTTCCCGGACCGAAGCAATCCTGTCTTCGGAGATCCGCGGGGACTTAGTGGGCCCCGGAAACGGCAGGGTCATTTTTTAACCGTTACCAAAAAAGTATCCCTTGAAAGTGGAAACGGCAAGAAACCGGCGACCGGAAGCGGCAACAAAACCGGCTCCGGGATTGGAACCGGAACCAGAACCCGTCAAAAAATGTCGACGGAACCGGTGAAAAAACGGCGTCGAAACCAGCAACAAAAACGGCGAAACGGAACCGGTAAAAAAACGGCCCTGTCGTTTCCAGGGCCCACTTAGCACAGACCCCATGAATCGCCGATGCCCCAGGAAATATGGGAAAATGCGGGAAGTGGGGGGGAAGACAAGGACCCAGGAAAGGTTGGAGAAGATGGGGAGTCCTGGGATTTTTGTGTCCATTGATGTGTGTGTCCCGGGGCCCCATCATATTCTCAACGTCCCGAGCTGCTTCCGGCCTCCCGCCCCGCGGAGCCGAGCGGCTTGCCATCCGGTGGCAAGGCGCGGCGTGGCGCCGGGGGCCGCCGCGGCGACAGCTGCTGAGCAGCAGCTCCCGGCGCGCAGGCGCAGGGGGGACGCATCGAGCTCCAATCGCCCACGCATCGCCGATGGGGGCCCGATGGCCCACTCATTTCCCACGGACGTGCGGAATCTGGATCGAGGGCCCCATGTATCGCCGATTTCAGCTCGATGTATCCCCCCCCCCTGAGCGCTCCCATGAGGGCGCGAAGCTATTCGCACTTCAGGCTTCGCGGTCCTCGTTCCTCCACCCCCCCCTCCTCCTTGTCCTCCCGTTCTCCCTCTGGGGGGCGGCGCGAGAGCGCGAAGTTGGGAGCCCTTCGAGCCGTTCCCCTGGCGGCTTTTGGGTCTGATAGCTCGGGCCTCCGGCGGCCGTTCGGGGACCCCCGGAGAGCGGTCCCTCGGCGAGGCGCCGCTCTCTGGAGAGCATCCCGAGGAGGGAAAGCCACCGATGATTCACGAAAGCGTTGAGTCGGGCCTGTCCCCCTACAGGGGAAAGATTCAGAGATAGTCAAAATACACCGTCGGGGGATGATGTTTTAACAATGTTTGGTTGTCTGGGAGCAGTTCTGGGGTATGTTTGATTTCTAGTCCAACATCCGCCTGTAGGGGGACACGCCCGAGCTAACGATAATTTGCGAAAGCGTCAGAAGCCTCTCGTGTGATCCAGGACACCACGAGGACGCTCTCGGCGAGGTGCAGCTGCTGGAGAGCATCCCGAGAGGCTGGAAGAGCCGCCGATGACAGACTAGAGCGTCAGAAACCTCGAGCCTCGAAGCTCAAACGGTACCCCTTTGTCGTTCCCCCTGGTCGTTCCCCCGCCCATCACGGGCCAAGGACGACTCGAAACCGTTAGGCACGAGCCGTGTATGCCCGAGGCGACCAACGAAAACTCTCGGCGCAGAGTTTTCGCACCGACGGGCGCACGTGGGGAGGAGGATCGCGGCTTTCGAGGAGGAGGAGGAGGAGGACGACGACGACGAGGACGAGGAGGAGGAGGAGGAGGACCAGCACGCATCATGAAAGAAGAAAGTCTGCCGACTTGGCGTCCCGACCCCTTGCTCGAGGAGGAAGGGGGAGTGACGACCTTAAAACTCGAAGAGCAACCCGACGAGGTAGCCAACGCCACAGACGGAACTGCCTGGCCACAAGCCCCGAGGAGCACGCCGCAGGAGTTGAGGAAGATGGTTTGCTGCCCCACGTGGCGACACCCTCCCTTGCTCATATTTGAGCCTTGCAGTTCAGCATTACGACCTCCGTGGAAACGAAGCTGTTTTAGAGCAACTGCCCATCTACACGAGGGCCAGAATTCAAGCTTCGAGCGAAGCATGTGCCTGTCCTCCAGCTTGTACTTCAAGCCGGTGGCGCACCCTTGTCCTCTAGCGTGTCCTTCAAGCCGGACGGCATCGCGGTCCTCCGCAACGAAGTCAGCGCCAGGAAGCGAATCCCTCCTCCACTGCGCCCGAGCCCGAACGCACGGCCAGGAGGCCTCGAGGGAAACGGCCGCGGAAGCATTTTGGCCCAAGTGGGGGGGTATCCCACTTGAGCCAAATGGCCACGGGGGAGGAGGAGGAGGATGAGGAGGAGGAGGAGGAGGAGGAGGAGGAGGAGGAGGAGGAGGAGGAGGAGGAGGAGGAGGAGGAGGAGGAGGAGGAGGGGATGAGGAGGAGGAGGAGGAGGAAGGAGGGGGGGGGGAGGGAGGAGGAGGAGGAGGAGGAGGAAGGAGGGAGGAGGGAGGAGAGGAGGAAGAAGGGAGGAGGAGGAAGGAGGGAGGAGGAGGGTCCCCTCGAAGCTCGAACGAACCCCTCTTCGTGTTCCCCCTCAGGTTCGTCAGCGGATGCTTCACCTGGGACCTGGAGGGCAGGCGCCGCGGCTGCCTCGAAGACGACCCACGGCGGCGGCGAGGTCCTCGTCTCGGAGGTGTCTGGGGGCGTTTTCTGTTCTGGGCGGGCTCGCCTCCACGACCGGGCGCGGCTCGAGACGGACCGACCAGCATCGGAATAGGTAGTGAGCGGGTGCGCGTGTGGGAAAGCAGCGATTCTGTCTTTCTCTCTCTCTCACACTCTCTCTTTCTCTCTCTCTCTCTCTCTCTCTCTCTCTCCCTCTCTTTCTCTTTCTCGGTCTCTGTAGATACAGGTGCTCATGCATACATGCATGCCTGCATGCGTACATACATGCGCGCATGCATGCATGCATGCAAACATGCATGCATGCATACATGCGAAAGAGCGTGTTCTACCGCTGCTGGCGGAGGAAAACCGCGGGGGGGTCACTGGGGGTTCCCAACCCGTCCCCCCCCCCCTCGAGAGCCGGGGGGGGGTCACTACTGGTTCGAACCCCCCTCCCCCCCCCGCCGCACCGGGAGCTCGGCCACGCCCCGAGGCGCCGCGGTCCCGAGGAGCGCTCGATGTGGAGCCCTCGAGCCGAGACGGCAGCGGACACGGCGCGGTGGAGGCTCACCGTGACCAGGCAAGCCCGGTCGTGCCCTGCTTGGCGCTCTTCGTGGTAGCACGATGACGGTAGCATTAAGTCGGGCATGTCCCTCTACAGGAGGGAGGTTCAAGAATAGTCTAAAAGTAGTTTGGGGACGATTTTTGCTCTGGGCTATGTTCGAGCATGTTTGACTATTTTGCATGTTTCGGCCAAAATAGGCCTGTAGGGGGAGATGTAGCATCTGGGTTCTGATGGACGTGGCGCTGGCCTACAACATGTGGCGGAGTTCGGCACCATCCCCAGGAGGAAGCAGAGGAGAGGGTGCAACAAAACTGCTAGACCCGATGACACATGTCTTCTTGACGGGGGCTCTTCAGGCCCTATGAAGGGGGCAGATCGGGGTCCTCGTGGGCCCCGTTTGGGGCTGAGTTCTTTGAGGCCCCGGGAGGATCTTGCGGGGGCCTCCAAGAGGTCGCAGGGCCCCAGCGCGCTTCCCAGGACTGCCTCAGGAGGCGGGCCCGCAGCGGACTTGGACCTCCTAAGACGGCCACAAGGTGCTCACCAGAGCACCAGGGTGGACCTCCACGAATGTCCGCCGTCTTCTGGGAATGGTTCCGACCCCTCGCCGTTGCCGCCGCCGCACCGGTCCCCCGACATGGATCCGAGGAGCGACCCGAGAGCCACAGCCGCTCCTGAGCCCGACGTGGCCCCTCTTGGGGCGTCTTGGCTGTCAGACCCTTCCAGGGCGCCCCTGCGGACGAGAAGGAGGCGAGGGAGGGGGAGCCCCCTCGCACTCGCGGGCCCCCTGGGGCCGCGGCAGGACGAGGAGGAGGATGGAGAGCAGGAGCCAGGATCCCATCTGGAGGGTTGGGAGAGTATTCTTGGGGGCTTTCGATCGTCTTTGAAGCTTGCTGTGCATGCACGACCAGCTTCATTTGCGAGAAACCAAGAAACTGGAGCCGAGAGCGCATTGCACCGCTCCTCCCTGCCCCCCTCTCCCCTACCCTCCCCTGCCAGCTGTGGCACGCTCTTCCCTCTCACAGTGGGGGCCCATGCCAAGACACATCCTGCTTGCCTCCAGGGTGCCCTGGGTTTCTTGGGCTTTGCTGGTTTTGCAATAGAACACCTGGCGTTCCCGCACCAAAAATCGACGGACGTCCTGGGGTCGCAGGGTTGGTTCTCTTGCGCAAGGTTTTTCGTGGTCGGGCTCCGACTGTGCCCCTTCACCCCTTCATTTCCCGAGGCGAGTGGTCAAGCCCCTGCCGCAGCTTCGGCCCCATGGGCGCGGCGCGCGCCGAGCCAGACTGGCCGCGCCGGCCGCGAGCGCGGCATGGCACAGCCCAAAGCCCTCCGGTCTTGCAGTCTGGGAGAAGGAACAGGGTACCCATTTCACCAACCCTTCCTTCGCTTTCGCCGTTGTGGCCTCCTCGGAGGCCCTCCTCGCCACCACTGGAGTCGCTTCGAGATTCTGGTCGGAGCGCACCCCTTCGAGAGGTCCGGGGAGCAGCGGTGTCGGTACCTGCGCGGGGTCCCCCGCAGTCGGGACCGATTGCAGAGGGCCCCCCAGAGGACACAAGACCTTTTCGAGGGGAGCCCGTGCTCCAGGCAGTTAGAGGGCACGAACCGTGACAGGGGCCATCAACGATGATCCGCACCGGCGTGGCCAAGTCGTCGGACCCCTCGGGGCCGCAGAGGGCGCAGCGGGGGGAAGCGAAGCGGCAAGGCGCGCGTGGCCGGGCGGAGCGGCGGCGGCGAGGGCGGAGGAGGAGGAGGAGGAGGAGGAGGAGGAGGAGGAGGAGGGAGAGGAGGAGGGGGGGGGAGGAGGGAGGAGGAGGGGCGCGCTTTGTGGCCCGCGGCCACAGCTTCCGGGGGGGGGGGCATGCCCGCGCCCCGGCTTTATATCAGGGCGCCCCCTGCGCACGGGCCCCGAGAGAGGCACCTGGTCAAGGACGTGGGCGGCTTCTTCGTCGGCGTCTCCCCCGAGTGGCAGGCACGCGGGGTCGGGAAGGCGAAGCCAGGACGAGGACAACATCGGGCCAGGGTAACTTGAGAGTCTCTGAGATCCGGCGGCTCTGGACGATGCTTCGGGCGCCGCGGCCCTCTCAGAGCGTTTCGCAACGCTCCGAGAGCGTTCCGGAACGATTCAGGTGGGGAAAAAGCACGCTGACACAAGTAATCTTCGATCCCCAGGTAAATATGCGAAAATATAGGAAATTGGGCGGGGGGGGAGAGAGAGAAACCCAGAAAATGTGTGAAAATATATCGGAATCCTGGGAGTTGTGTGTAGTTCTAGGGGAACAAAAAGTGGCATAAACATAAAAAACTCGGAGGTCCGCGCGGATTTCTCGGATCGGCGCTGGGGCCCCCCCCCGGCGGCGCCTCCGGCGCCGCCCCTGGCGCGCTCCGCGCGCCAGGGAAGGGGGGTCCAGCGCCGATCCGAAAAAAATCCGCGCGGACCTCCGAGTCTTTTTGTGTTTACGTCACTTGTTGCTCCCCCAAGTTCTTTGTGTGCATAGCTCTCTAGCCCTCTAGCCCCATAGCCCTATGTCATTAAAAAGATGATGATTGGGGCTTTTTCTCTGGTATCACTGCTCCCCCAAAAGTTCTTCTGTGTGCCTGGGGGCCCCCTTCAGTCGACGCGGAGCGGACCGCCCCGTCCTGGTCGGCCCCCGCCGTGGCCTGAGGCTCGCCCCGTCCTGGTCGGCCCCCGCCGTGGCCCGAGGCTCGCCCGCGGCCCGGGGGGCGCTCCTCGAGCGCCCGGGGGGGCCTCTCCGGGGGGGCTCCCCTCGCCGCCGCGGCCGGGCGGTCCGCCCGGCAGCGCGGGGCCGTCACGCGCCCCGCGGCGGGCCCCCGAGCCTCGATCGATCGAGGCTCCTCGATCGTTCGAGGAGCCTCGACCCTCCTCGATCCTCGATCCTCGATCGATCGATGCTCCTCGATCCTCGATCGATCGATGCTCCTCGGCCCCTGGCCTCCCCTTCGATCTCTCCCCAGCACGCGCCCCGCGGGGGTCAGCCTGTGACGCCACTGTAATTAGGGGGACGAAAAGTGACACCACAAACATGAAAACTCGGAGGTCCGCGCGGGTTTCTCGGATCGGCGCTGGACCCCCCTTCCCTGGCGCGCGGAGCGCGCCAGGGGCGGCGCCCGAGGCGCCGCCGGGGGGGTCCCAGCGCCGATCCGAGAAATCCGCGCGGACCTCCGAGCTTTTACGTGTATGCCACTTTTTGTTCCCCTGGCCACGGCGGATCTGGGCGGATGGCCCCTGGGTCGACTACACTCAGGGAAACGTCAGGAACGGGTAAGCTGGAACTCGGGCTTGCCGGCGTGTTTCGACGAGCGCGTCATGGATTTTGACGGTCCAGTTTCCGTGGGATGCCTGCAGCGGGAGCCCGCGTCAAATTTCAGGTGGGGTCTCGCCATTTTTATGATGGCCTCGTCAGGCCAACCCGAGCCCCCCGTGCCCGAGTCTTACGTCTCCCCGATACACGTAAGAGTGACCCTCGGGCCGGAGCGACCTCTGCCGCGGGCCCACTGGGGTCCCCCGATCGCCAAAACGCCGCGCACCAAAGGCCGCTCTTGCCCAGGGTCGCTCTTGCGCGTGGCCGGCTGGGGCCGGGGTCGGAGGCCCAGACATCCAAAGCATCATTGTTGTGCTCACTCTCGGCGCTGCTCCTGCCTTTGGGCCTGCGCTGGCCGTGTTCGCGGCCCCGGGGCGATCAGAAGCAGGTCCGGTCAGGCAGTGGCGAAGCGTCCTGGCGTGCCTATAGGCCTACCAAGCAGTGTTCTGAGAACCTTCTGTGGTCTGCACGAAATGTTCTTAGACTGTCTTGTTTTAACACATCGGGTTTGTGCTCTAAGAACATTGTGTTTGTTCTTAGAACATGATCGGGATCTAAGAACATTTTGTGGTAGGCCTACAGGAATGCCGAGACGGTCGGTCTCTGCTCAATTCGGGGCGGCGAGAAGCTATTGCCGGGGAAGGTGTCCGGAGGTCTGGTCGGGGCTCAAGAGACGGGGGTCCAGGCAAGCAGGGGTCAGCCAGAGCGCCAGAGCTTGCAGAATCCTGCAATGCCAGGGTCGCAGTGACCCGGGCGTGGGTGCAGGATCCCCTGCACGATGCTGCAGGATCCTGCAAGGCCTGACTGACCCGGGTGTGGATTGGCCCCGGTCAGCAGATCCACGAGCTGGGGACCGCGGACTGGGACATTTGATCTCCTGATGCCGGGGCCCTCCTCGAGGCCACCCACCACGGGCCGGGGGCGTCCAAGAGGGGAGCGACGACTGCGTGGGCGGGGGGATCTCGTCGCGGGGGCCATGATGCAGAGTACGGTAGGTTCGCGTCGTGTCGACCAGCGGCGACCCCAGCGCGGGCGTTCAACGTTGAACGCCGACGGCGGCCCAGAATCGTTCGATGTTGAACATTTGGACGTTGCGGAGACGGCCGATCGTTCAAGGTTGAACGATCCAGCGCGGTGTCAAAAACCAACGCTGGGGTCGGCACGACACGAACCTGCCGTACGCCTGCCCGGATCTCTCATGGCCCCCCTCCTCTTCCCTCCGAGCGCCCCCTGCCCCACCCACCCCCTCGTCCGCGCACGTGCCTCGAGCCCGGATCTGCGAGCCCTCGCCTCGAACGCCCCCGCACGCTTTTGGCATCGCTCGGACGTGTGCATCTTTTTCCTGGCGAGGAGCACCGTGGCTCCTCGTGCGAGACGTCGGCGCGCGATACAGTCGGGGCGCTGGAGAAGGAACCCGTTTCGGAGGGGAGGGGCTCGGTGTTCTTTGATTGTTGTACACTTGCCTTGAGTTGTCCTTAGGTTTTCCATGGGAAATCTATTTTTTTCCCCAATCAGTGCTTGCACTGAAGGGGTCCTCGCGGATGTTGAAGGATTTGGCGAAAATGGTGTCCCGCCGATTCTGGTTGCTGGCTGGGTTCCGGGGTTCCCGGTTCTGGGTTCCTGGGTTCACGGTTCCGGGTTCCGGGCTGATTTCGGAGGGCGGCGAGGTTCTCGGTTTCTTGGGTTTGTGGTAGATCCTCTTATCAATCGGTCTCACCGTCGATCTCATTACCCATTTTTTGATCGATCTCACCATCAATCTCACAATCGATCTCATTATCGATCTCACAAGCGATCTCACTAGAGATCGCATGAGCGATCTCGCGATCGATCTTATTATCGATCTCATTGAATCGATGTCACTCTCGGTCTCACGATCACGCTCACCATCGTCCTCACGATCGCTTCCACGCTCAATCTCATCATCGATAGCGCAATCGATCTCAAGGTCGAAAGTAATAATGTTCAAATCCTCCACAGATTGGGTGTCGAACCATCGGCGCCAGTGATGTGAACGAGATGAATGGGAAAAAAAGGGGCCTCGTTCCTCAGCTTGGGCTCCTTGGGTCGACGCCCCGACCTGTACCGAAAAAAAGAGCACGGGGGAACGGCCGCCCGGGCCCATGGCGGGGAGAGCGGGGCGCACTCGAAGCTCGCCGCGCGGCGCGGCACCTGCCGGCGTGTCGAGCAGCCCCTCCTCCTCCTCCTCCTCCTCCTCCTCCTCCTCCTCCTCCTCCTCCTCCTCCTCCTCCTCCTCTTCCTCCTCCGCCTCCTCCCCTCCTCCTCCTCTCCTCCTTCCTGCCTTCCTCCTCCTCCTCCTGCTCTCCTCCTCCTCCTCCTCCTCCTCCTCCTCCTCCTCCTCCTCCTCCTCCTCCTCCTCCTCCTCCTCGTGCCAAGAAAGGAGCGCACGATGCCGATAAGAAAACACGGGGGAGCGGCCGCCAGAGCAGTGGCGAGGAGCGGGGGCGCTCGAAGCTCGCCGCGCGGCGCGGAACTTGTCTGCTTTGTCTCGTCGAGGACCCGTTTTTCTTGTGCGGCCCCTCGTGCCAAGAAAGAGAGTGTTTTCTTGTCATCCTTTGGGCCAGAACGCGCGTCATGCCCCCTACCCTCCTCCCCCCCTAATTCCGCCCACAATGACGTAGCGCTCCCCCCCTTCAGTGCGTCCCCGGCACTGCCGCAGTGCGTCCGGCACCAGAGTCTGGGGGGGGGGGGGCGGGGCGCTACGTTATGCCCCCTCCCGTCCCAGCCCCTCCCCCCTCCACCCCCTCACCCCCCCACCCCTCACCCCCCCTTCACCCCCACCCCCACCCCCACCCCCCACCCCCTCACCCCCCCCCTCACGCCCGCCCGCTGTGGCCGCGAAGGTTTAAAAACATGCACTCGAAAGGAGCGCCCGAAGCCGACGACAAAGCACGGGGAAAGAAGGCCGCCCGAGCGCCGGCGAGAAGCGGGGGGCGCTCGAAGCTCGCCGCCCCCGCGGGGCCGCGCTGCAGCGCATCGCTCCCCCTCGGACTTGGAGACTCGTCGATCATAAAATTATGTTGGGCGTGTCCCCCTACAGGGGGATCTTCGACGAAAAAATAAGCAAACATACTCCAAAAAGGCCACACAATAATCAAAGATTGTCCCCATGCGATTTTATGATTATTTTTTAATTATTTTGGGGGTATTTTTCATTCTGCGTCGAAGATCCCCCTGTAGGGGGACAGGCCCGACTTAATCATAAAAGAGCCCCGCAACATCTTGGCGGCTTGGTTCGGTACTCGAGGGAGGAAGAACTGCATAAGCACAAACACTTATGGCGCTCCGCGCACTTCTTGGCTCTGCGCCAGACCCCCCTCCCCTGGCGCGCGGAGCGCGCCCGGGGCGGCGCTGGAGGCGCCCCCGCGGGGGGCCGAGCGCGGATCCAAGAAAAACGCGCGGAGCGCCACAAGTTGATGTTTATAGCGCTTTTCCTTCTTCGAGCAAACGGCAGGTCCGAACTATTGAGCCGAAATTTCGCGCTCGAGTTGATGTTTATGGCGTGCTTGTTCTTTCTGATCGATCCTCCTCGATGCCTGCTCGCAGTCTCCCTCGACCCTCGATCCCTCCTGGAGCCCAAGGCCCCCCCCCCCGGGAAGGTGGCGGTCGCCACCACGGCCTTCCTCGAGACCGCCGCGCCGGGCGTGGCGCTCCTGCGGAAGTGGAGCCGCGACCCGGCGTCCCGGGACGAGGGCTTCGTGCGGGTGGCCGCCGTTGCCGCGTCGTCGTCGTCAGCGTCGGCGACGTCGTCGTCGTCCTCCTCCTCCTCCTGCGCCTCCTCGTCCTCCTCCTGCTCCTCCTTCTCCTCCTCCCCATGGTCGCCCCCTTCTCCTCCTCTTCCTTCCTCCTCCTCCGCCAGCAGAGCATTGGCGAGGGCGCGTCTATCATTCGGCGGCGAGCGAGGGGGGAAGTGAGAAGGAGAAGGCCTTCACAGAAGGCCGGGGAACTTCTCAGAGGCCCTCGCGCCTTCTGAGAAGTTGGTCTGTGTCCCTGGGGAAGGCTTAGCACACTTCTCGGAACGCCTGGGGACTTCCGAGCCTTCTGAGAAGGCCCGCCCCTTCTCACTTCCCCCCCGCGTTCGCCGCCAGCTCAGGCAATGGAGCGTTCAGCTTGGCGGAGGCGAGGTCCACTGCCCGCGTGGACCGTCCGTGGCGCCCCCTGGTCGAAAGATGATGGGCAGACATTCCCCACTTGGCCAACCTCGCCCAGGTGCTTTGCATGCTTGGCGAGTGCTGGAACACTTGGACATGCCGAGCGGGCAGTGCTTCGCAAGACCGGACGTGGGTGCTGGCAGGACGTCGCCGATTTGACTGACTGGTGCGTCCCAGTCGTGGCCGTCCCCTTGGAACGCCCCTGCCTCGTCAACCCCCGTGCTCGAGCACTACGCTCGCCTGCCTCACTTCCAGGCACTGAATACGCGTACCTACGTAATGGGCATATGACGGCCACAGGCGCGCTGTTGGGCGACATTTGGAGCAGAGTTGCCGTGCGTCATCTGAGCGCCCTGGTGGCGCGTCGCTATATCAACAACAGAGTGAGCATGCCTACTCCGACCAGGAGACCACAGCCTACCAATCGGTCTGTAGGGCATGGGGACATGTACAGAAATTGCCTCCGGCTGCTGTTGCTAATCTAGAAGGGAAACGGTTACCCCAGGTCTCCCCAGACGATGTAGATGCCGACGGAGTATCCGATGGCAGCAGTCTGCTCGCGACCCTGGTGCCAAGACAGCAGAATGCCCATGCAACATGTGATACAGCGCGTAATGGTCTTCCCCAGCGCGTGAAGTTCCCGAAAGTAGTATTCAAAACGGTGGTCAGCTAACTCAGGTTGCTAGAGGTGGTTCCCGTCAACGACAGTTTCTGTCAGTCGCTCGCATGGCCTATTCCAAATGTCCCCGACCAGATTTGCGACGATTTCGAAGCCCAACAACTGATTATTTCTCCATATGTCCGAGCAACGGCTCCCCAGTTTTTCTACCAGGAAAAGTATCTGGACGACAAGCAGCACTGGATGGAGTGGTGTGCTGATTTTCTTCGAGAACAAGGCTGGGGCAGGTACCCTTCGACCACCTCTTCGACAACATTCCTGCCGAAGACTACTGCGAGCTGCTCCAGATGATCTTTTTGGAAATGTGTGCTGACGTTTGGGATATGGGGGCGGTGTTGCGCTCGGCACTGTTGGTGGAGTCATCCTCCTTGGATGCTCTCGATCTGGAACGAAGGCGTTTTATTCTTCGCCCGCAGAACGAGATCCTCAGGGGCTGGCGGCCCCGCATCTTCCTCAACACGCGGCTCCGACAGTACCTCGCGGTAGTGAGTTGTGTGGTTGCGTCCTTGGGGCTGGCAAGAGCTCCGCGCCCCCACACCACTCGCCAGCCTTCGTGACCAACTGGCATCATGCCTGTCTTTCCTGGTGGCTATCTTGGGAATGGTGTTGCTTGCCTCGCCAGGTCCAAGACTACCCCATCAAGGTCCCAGCTCACGACATCTCCGTCTACGTGTGACGATGTACTACCTCCTCGTCGGCATCATGAAGTTCCAGGGCCGCCGACCTTCTTCGGCGAGCTCGTTCCCGTCGTCGACGCTGGCTGTGTCCTCCCGCGGAGCGCCGTCTGCAACTACCTGTTCAACGTCGGCTCCTTGGACGTCGAACTCACGAGCCTGTGTGGCACGTGGTTCGGCCAGCGGCGCGAGCGGGGCGTAAGGAGACACGCGCTTCCCTCGCACATTGGGCTCCTCCTCCTCCTCCCCCTCCTCCCCCTCCTCCTCCTCCTCCTCCTCTGTCTCTCTCTCTCTCTCTCTTTATATTGAGTATGTCGTTCTATGTTTAAGTAGTTCTCTCTCGTTCCCTCTCTCTATTTCTCTTTCTCGCTCTCCCTCTCTCTCTCTCTCGTTCTCTCGCCTTGGACCCTTGAGTTCACCTCCTCCTCCTCCGCCTCCTCCTCTCTTCTTATTCCCCCTCCTCATCCACTTCGCCCGTTCGCTCGCTAGTCGGAGCTTATAACGTTGAGCCCGTGCCGGAAAAAAGGGAGACAAAAGACTTGCAACGAAGTCAGGCTCGTCTTCCTTCCCCTCCTCATACTCCCCCTTCTCCTCCTCCTTGGCCTCCTCCTCCTCTTCCTTCTCCTCCTCATCCCTTCGTGTAACGTGGCCCCCCTGACGCTCCTACCTCCACCTCCTCTTCCTCCGCCTCCTCCTGCTCTTCCTCTTCTTCCTCCTCCTCCTCCTTTCGTTTGACGTGGCCCCCCTGTCGTTCCAACCTCCACCTCCGCATCCGCCCCCGCCTCCCCCTCCTCCTCCTCTTCCTCTTCTCCATCCTCCTCCTCTTTCTCCTCCCCCTCCTCCTCCATCTCCATTCCTTTCCCATATAAATAACTTCTCCCTGTCGCACCCCGAGGCCAGTTTTTACGGCGGGCCGGGTGTTTCGCCTGAGCTTTTCTCACCCTATATGACCCTGAAATGTTTAAAACATTGGCAACAGCTTCACTGATGAAGGGCGGGTCGTTTTCAAACTGTGGCTCTCGCCTAAGCGCCGCGCGCATTCGTTGTGAAATGTTACACGAGCTCGCGGATTGAGGGCCGTTCCTTTTCAAGATGTGTTTCTCGCCTTAGCGCCGCGTACATTCGTTTCGAAATGTTATACGAGCTTCACGGATTGAGGGCGGTTCCGTTTCAAAATGTGGTTCTCGCCGTAGCGCCGCGCACGCTTGTTTTGTTTCAGGGGCTCCCATGATCAGCGTACCAGGAATGCTGTTTTGGAAGGGTTCAGGTTTCTGAGGGCACAACAGTTACGTTGATTCGCGGTGTTGAAGTCCCAGGCATGGCGTTCTGGCACGATTCCTGATCGTCAAGACGCAACAATCAGGTTGTTCCGTGGCGCTTGGATCCCGAGAACAATGTTTCGGCATGCTTCAGGGTCTTCAAACGGTTGTCTCCCAGCGAGGCAGTTCCCTCAGTTGAAATGAATCGTTGTAGGGGCCTATGAAGAGGGAGCTTGGAGGGAGGGTTGATTCCAACATCGTTGACGAGTCTTGGGTTTACACTGGCCCTCCTCTTCCTCCTCCTCCTCCTCCTCGTCCTCCTCCTTCTCCTCCTCTTCCACCTCATCATCATCAGCTTCCTCTTCCTCTTCCTCTTCCTCCTCCTCCTCATCATCATCCTCCTTGTCCTCCTCCTTCTTTTGTCATCATTTCAGGTCTGCTGTCTGGGGCGCACGCAAGTGGGCAGGCGCACTTGTCTGGTACACTTTCCTTCTGGTTGCATCCCTGGTAGTCCCATGTCCTCCTTCCTTGTATTTATCCTCCTCGTCCTCCTGGGTCCTCCTCCTCCCGTCTTTCTCTCCCTCTCCTCCTCGTCCCTCCCCATCCCGCTCCCCACTCTCCTCCGCCCTCCTCCCTCCTCCTCCCGTTCCTACCTCCCCGTCCCTCCTCCCGCCCTCCGCCGCCGTCGCCGCCTCGATCGTCGTCGTCGGTCATTCGTCGTTGGTCTTTCGTCGGTCGCCGGTAGTTTGTCGACGCCGCTGGCGACGGTGTTTGCGGAGGCGTGTGTCTCATCCGCGCCAGCCGCCCCAGCCCGTCGAGTCGGAGATCGGCGTTCTGCCCATAACTACCCCCGCGGAACCCCGTCCCCGGTGGGTGAAAGGGGGCATACGAGAGTGACCGCGATTCGACCGATCCGACTACATCGCGGTCGATTGCGTTCGATCGGTCTGGTTGGGTCGGTTGATGTGGGAGGTTTTAGGTTTGTTCTCGGTCAGTTTTCCATTGTGTTGTCGCCGTGGACGGTCTTGGCAAAGGAGAGACAAGGCATTGGACGAAAGTCCAGTTCTTCGGAGGCTCGGCCTCTCATCCATGTTACTCCCCCGCGTAAGTCTGAGAACTGTGTCATGAGCAAAGATATGGATGACATATCGAGCAGAGGTATGGATAATGCATCGCTCGGCCATCGTGGATCTAAGGCAACGGTGCGAGTTTCGAGGTGGAGTGTGAGAAGGAGAGAAAAGCTTTTACACGTCTTGATTGTTTGAGAGGGAGGGCCTCCTCAGGCTTCCAGAGACCTCTGGCGCGCTCGCGGCCATTGCTGGCTTCGCGTCGGGATTCGGGGCAGAACGCACCCCAGGAGAGGTCCGAGGGTCGTCCTCGTTGCCGTCGTCGCCGCCGCCGTCGTCGGCGTCACTGTCGCCGTTGCCGCCGCCGTCGACGCCGCCGCCGTCTTCGTCGTCTTTCGTCGTTCGTTGTTTGTCGCCACTGCCGTCGCCACCGCCGCCGTCGCCGTGGTTGCCGTCGTCGCCGCCGTCGCTGCCACCATCGCCGCCGCGTTCGCCCCCGCCGCCATCGTTATTGTTGCTATTGCCATGTCATCGTTGCCGCTGTCGCCGTCGTTCGTTCGTCGCTCGTAGTTCGTGATGTGCAGTTTGTGGATCGACGTTCGAGGATCGAAGAGTTTCGAGCATCTAGAGCGGAGGTGCTTCTACGTTTTCTTTATTTGCGTTGGCCCTCCAGGGGCTCCAAGAGACTTCCAGAGACTCTGAGTTCCGTCATCGTGTGTTTGATCTTATTTCGATTGATCTTGGTGGCATGTTTGGTGCAATTCTTAAGGCTCAGCGGCCTTCTCGTAGCAACGGCTGGACGCGTCTGGCCAGTTGTTAAAAGTCGGGCGCGTCCCCCTACAGGACGAACAGTCAAAAATTGTCAAAACATAGCCTGGTGACGATGTTTTGACTATTCTTGGTTATCTTTTGAGTATGTTCTGACTATTTTTATGTTTCGTCCAAAACCCGCCTGTAGGAGGTCATGCCCGACCAAACTGTTGTCCATGGTTCAAATGCGCGAACGGAGTTATCCACAACCACCGCCTGGGGGATCGATCTGCGACGCTCTCGGCAGGCGTTGGGTATGGATATATTTGGGCCCCCAGGTGCATAAATGTATTCATGCCCTCCGCCCCCTGGGGTCCAAGGATGTCGGTTCCCCAGGCCGTGGATAATCATCGGTCGTTGAAAGCAGGTACTTTGGGATCCCCAGAACCCAATCTGCTTCAAGTGCCTTCGTACTTCAAGAATCGATCTGGCTTGGATGCTGTCTGTTATTATTCTCTTGCACAGGGTGTCCAGAGCACCGACCACTTTATTCCGTGTCGCACCCCCCCCGCGTCCCCAGCGCCAGAGTGGGACACCCGCGCCGTGGTTCTCTGCCCCGAGCCCCCCCGCGTCCCCAGCGCCCCAGCGGGAGCCAAGCTCACTGCCCCCTCCGCCACGCACGCTTTATTCCGCGTCGCACCCCCCCCGCCGCGTCCCCAGCGCCAGAGTGGGACCCCCGCGCCGTGGCTCTCTGCCCCGAGCCCCCCCGCGTCCCCAGTGCCCCAGCGGGGGCCCCGCCCACTGCCCCCTCCGCCACGAACGCTTTATTCCGCGTCGCACCCCCCCCGCGTCCCCAGCGCCAGAGTGGGACACCCGCGCCGTGGCTCTGTGCCCCGAGCCCCCCCGCGTCCCCAGCGCCCCAGCGGGAGCCCCGCCCACTGCCCCCTCCGCCACGCACGCTTTATTCCGCGTCGCGACGCACATCACCTCCTCCACCTCCTTCCCCGCGTCCCCAGCGCCCCAGTGGGGGCTCCGCCCATGCCCCCTCCGCCCCGACAATTTTACTCCGCGTCGCGACGCACACCACCTCTCCCCCTTCCCCACCGGTCCCCAGCGCCCCAGTTGGACCCCCGCCCCGTGGTCCTCTGCCCCAAGCCCCGCCCAGTGCCCCCTCCGCCCCGACCATTTTATTCCGCGTCGCGACGCACACCACCTCCCCCCACCTCCTCTCCGCGCCCCCAGCGCCCCAGTGGGACCTCCGCCCCGTGCCCCCTCCGCTCCAAGCACTTATTCCGCGTCGCGACGCGCATTACCTCCCCCCCTCCCCACCTGGGAGTTGGGCCCCGTTGCTGGGCCTCGAGGAGCGATGTCTTGCCCCCTCTTCCCCCCTCCTCCTCCACCTCCTCCTCTTCCCCTTTCCTTTTTGTGCAAGAGCCATGGCACACGTGCCACTTGTTCGGGCGGACCCGAACTCAATCTACTTTATCCGCCTTCCTACTTCCTGTGTCGACCTACTTCTTCCGACCGGCGTGTATGGATAAACCTCCGCTCCGCAATGATGGACCCTGTGATGAGTGGTCTGGGCACCCGTCCTCATCGCACCCAGAGGCCCCAGACCTCGTTCGTTGATATTTTGGTTCCGTCCAGCCGCTCTTCTTCAGGGCCGGCATCCCGGGGGCCGATGCCGAGCCCCGGGACCGTCACGGAGCGACTCGGGGCAACAAAGGGTCTCCTGGAAGGGGTCGTCTCGAGCTCTGGGCCCCAGGGTTGCAGCGACCGGGTCGTCGGCGGCCTGGCTCGATAGAGGGTCACGAGGGCACACGAGCATACAGCGGAGGCCCATGCCAAGAAACACATTGCTTGCCTCCAGGGTGCCCTGGGTTTCCTGCACTTCGCAGGTTGTGCCCTGGAAGGCGGGACGTTCCCACACCAAGAAGCGATGGGCGTCCTGGGGTCTCAGGGTTGGGTTTCTTGTGTAAGGTTTCTTGTGGTCGGGCCCCTGCTGTTCGGCTGGCACAACCGTTGAGGACCAGCCCTGTGGCTCTGGCCGGGTGGCTTTTCCTTCTTCGTGCTCGGGCCCCCCGCCCTGGATTCGGTCTTCCATCTGGGCACCTTCGTCGAGGTTTGAGCCTCGTCGTCGGCGCTGGCGCCGTCGCCGTCGTGGCCAACGCTCTTGTGGCCACGCTTCGAACATGAACCTCAAGGCCGCCAGGTTTCTCCACCGGCGCGGAACCCCCTCCCTGCACCCCGGGGCCCCCCTGACCGGGGATTTCGATAAACCGGGACACTTCGAGTCGGGGATCGACTACAGAATTGGTTTACCCCTTGATTTCCACGTCGAATCTACAAAAAGATATGCATAGGATTCGTAGGCCTACGAACATTGTACGCATTCGTTTGCAGATTCGACGAACAAATCAAGTCTGGGGTTAGCCGATTCGACAGTCGACCCCCCACTCGAACACTTGGCGCACCCGAGGAAGCGGCAGTCGGCAGTCCTGGGCCGGAGCAGCCTCCATGAGATTCGTTTTTCTCACGGCAGGGTGATGCTCAAAGGCCTGGACAGCGTTGTCCTGGTGTGGGGGAGGCCCTGAGCTTAAGTCGGGCCTGTCCCTCTACAGAACGAAAATTCAGAAATAGTCCAGAAATAGTCTGGGGATAACTTTTTGAGCATTGTTTGATTCTTTTCGAGCATTGGTTTTGTAGTATTCCTTATGTTTCGCCCAAAATTAGCCTGTAGAGGGACATGCCCGACCTAATCCTGAGCACCCATTCCGTCGTGCGCGCAGCGACCGCCGCGGGCGTGGGTGGACGCGCGAGGCTGGCGGAGAGTACACCGTCCAGGGACGTCCGAGGGTGCTGTTGGAGCACGTGCGTCCGCCCTTCGACCAGGGGCGCATCGCCGATCAATTGGCGATGTGTTGTCGAATCCAGGTCGATGCCCCCCCCCCTGGAGCAGCGCCCCCCCCCGCAGACGTTCCCCCTCATGTTCCGCAAGGGACGTCCCTGTGAAGAAATGGCACCTTGCTGAAGTCAGTGGACGGCTCCTCCGGTCCGCAGACGCGCTAACGGCATGTTAGCAAATGGCGATGTAGGAAACCCAACTGTAGAAAAGCGTGGTTCGTGGCCAAGTCATTGTAGGAGCGCGTGGTTCGTGTTTTCCTACACCTCGCTGTGTCGTTTTCTTTCGGTGAAGTCGCATATATTTGAAAAGCAGGAAACGGTGTTTCGTGATGTCCTACATCTTGTTCTGCGTGAGCTCGGTGTCACAAAAAGCTTGATTCCCAACCACACCGTTACCAATTCCTTTATTCATCGTCCCCCTGGTCTGGCTTTTCAAGGCGCCTTTTTTGTCCGGTTTATTAGGGCGCTTTCTTTGGATTGGAGCTTAGGGGCTCCGGTTTATTAAGGCGCCCCGTCGAAGAGGGGGTCCGGAATATTAGGTCGCATTTGGAGGGGGGTCTGGCTTTTTACTGGGGGGGGTCGATTAATAAGGGATTCGGAGGAAAAAAGCACGACGTCAGCGCGGCCCTGGCAGGTGGCGAAGTTCGGCACGCACGTGTACCGGCTCGCCGTGTACCGCGGAGAGGGCGAGCGGCTGACCACCTTCTACGCCACGCAGCTCGGGCGCTGGGACGCCCGGGCGCGCGCCGAGCTCGACGAGCAGGTGAGCAGCATTTTTTTGCCACGGCCTGCTCCCAAGGGTCCTCCACACTCCTTTTGTGCCGTCCTCCCTCTCACCACCCACCAAACCACCCCAACCCAAACCGAAGGCCTCAATTTGCCGTCCATTTCCAGTGGGGGGGGGGTCCGGGAACATCGAAAAAACACATGTGGAACCCTTACCCCCCCCAACCCGAAATTTGGGTCTTCGGGTTGGGTTGGGGTGGTCTGGTAGGTAGTCACCCTCCCTCCCTCTTCTCGCTCTTCTCCCCCCTCCCTTCCTCTCCGCCCCTGCTCCCGCTCCTCCTCCCTCCCTCCCTCCTCCTCTGCTCTCCCCCTTTCGGCCTGAAGCTGCCTGCACTCCTCTTTCCCCGTTCTCGTCGGCATCGTCGCCCTCCATCTCCGGGAGATGATGTGAGCGAATGGTCTTGAATTACAGATGGGTTCCGTTCGTTGTGGTCGCAGCCTCTCGCGAGGGTTTTCCAGAAAGGCTCGGATGGTTCTGGCATCTAGCGCGGGAATTTCTGGGACCGAGTTCCAGGCCGAGTCTGGAAATGCTTACGACAGAGCGAAGCAGCCATGAAGGAAAGGAGGTCATGGCTCCTGATTTCTTGCCAAAGTTAAAATGCCTGGGGCCCTCCCTGGACCCCAGGACCGTCAAAAACCGCGGGATGAAAGCTGACTTTGTAGAAAGCCCAGGGGACTGGCGCCCGTTTCCACCGGGATCTTCATTCGCGCCAAGAATTTCGGGCCGAGTTTGGAAATGCGGGCGACAGGGACCGAGTATGCTGTCTTTTTGTGGTGGTTTACGCCGGCCGCCAGCGCGGCAGACCGCAGAACAAGGGCAGAGGGCGCTTACACGCGACTCGGCGCGGGGTGCTCACCCGCCAATTGCCGCGCACCCGCCCTCGCTGTTGCACGTCGCTTGCATGATCCTTCCAAGGCTGGCGATTCGTCATCTGGCATACTGGAGTGAGCTTGTGGACTCGCAGGGCCCAGAAGTGGAGATTCGAGGTTCCAGGGATGCCTTATCGAAATCGCCTCAGGTCATTTCCAGATACACTTGTCACTTCGTAGGGCAAGATCATATGGGTATGGCCGCTCCAAGAAGATACAGCACAAGGTTGTAAGTTCACATTCCCAGGGGGGCTAGACGAGTCACGCGAGGCTCTTCGGAATTCCGTCGATGTCAACACGAGCTCGTTTTTGTTCCCTGAACCCGTAGCGCCCGTTACGGGGGGGCGATCCCCCCCGCCCCCCCGTAACGGTTAACGAACGTACTGGGAGGATGGAGGCTGGCCCCCCGCAAGTATGGCGCCGTGTTCACAGGCATGGCGTGGTGCGGACAGACATCGGAGGGCCTCGAGACGCCTCCGGAGGCCTCCACAGACCTCTTTAGGCCTCCGGAGGCCTGAGGAGGCGGCCGTAGTCGTCGTCTTCGTCGGCTTCGTCGTCATCGTCGTCGTCGTGGTCCTGGTCCTGGTCCTCGTCCTTGTCGTCGTCCTCGTCGACGTCCTCGTTGTCGTCATCGTTATTCTCGTCGTCGTCGTCTTCGAGGGCCTCCAGACGCCTCCAGAGACTTCCAGAGATCTCCCGAGGCCGACAGAGGACCCTTGGAGACCTCGAGAGGCGGCCGTCGTCGACGACGTCGTCGTCGTCTCCGAGGGCCTCGGAGGTCCTCCAGAGACCTCCGGAGACCTCCGGAGACCTCTTGAGAATTTCACAGGCGGCCGTCGTCGTCATCGTCGTCGTCGTCGTCCAGCGCCCAGGGCCACCCCCGCGGCGCCCGACCACGTCACCGTTACCCCCCACGGGGTCCAGGCCCGCAGCCCCGTGACACACGTCATGGGGGGGAGTGCAAGACAATATCCGCGCACTGCTGAGCACTCGCGCGGTGCGCTCCATTTGCCGATATGCGCAGTCGATTTACCGTCTTCCGCAAAACTTTCTGTGGATTCCGTCAATTTTATACGTCATTTGTAAAGGCAGAGTGTGAGAGACAGAGAGAGACGAGAGAGGGAGAGAGCTAGAAACACAGAGAGAGAGAGAGGAAAAGAAACAAACAAGCAAACACGCCTATCTCTGAACCCTCGTTACTGGGGCAGTGTGGCAAAGATTTCGAGGCTTCGGGGAGATCCAAACCCTGCACTTGCTTGGAATGGGAAATCGCCTCACAGAGCATGATCGTACTCTGTCTTCTGATGGGAAGTGCGGCTGCCCAGCCCAGGTGTACATAACACCACATCACTTGCGATCACTTCGTGGCATCACGGATGTGTTCTTGAGAGCACAGCGATAATTCTATCATGATCAGACGATCACCAGGGAACGTTTCTTTGTTTACGATCTTTGGTCACACGTGCTCTCAGACCTTTGCCAGGTCACAACGTTGTCCGGAAACCGAAATGGTACGGCAGAGTCATACATTTATATATATATACATATACATATACATAGAGAGAGGGATAACACAAAGAGGGGGGGAGAGAGAGAGAGAGAGAGTTCGGGGAAAAACGATAATTGCTACAGCGGGTGCATTTGACAAGCCAAACATCAGGTTAGCGGCGGTGGTTGATGATATGAAGGTTGTGTTTGGAGATGGGCGCGTGAAAGACGTCATGAGGCCGTTCCCTGCCAGATAATCGAATTGTGTCTTGACAGCGCTCGAAACAGTTGGCGAGCGTTGATCATAGTCATAGGTCCTGCCTTGTTCCGGACAGCATGTGCTTCTTTTCGTGGTGACCCGGTGTGGTCCCTCGATTCTGCTTTGATTGATGCCCCAACTATGGCCTGGCTGCGCCCTCGAGGCGTGCGTTAGTGGTCCAGTCCAGGGGGGGGAGAGTGAGGAGAAGTATGAGGAAGAGGAGGATGAGGAGGAGGAGGAGATATGAACGCTGCGTGCTGTATATTGGAGTCCGAGCAACGTCAAAAAGGAGGAGGAGGAGGAGGAGACGGAGGAGACGGAGGAGGACGACGACCAAGACGAGGACGACGATGACGGCGACGACGACGGCGACGACGACGACGAGGGGGAGGAGGAGAAGGAGGAGGAGAAGGCTGAGGATAAAGGGACGGGAGGGGATAGGAGAGGGGGAGCAGGAAGGAGGACAGGGAAGAGGAGCAGCGCCAGGCCCCCGCGGCAACCTTCCCCGTTGTGCGGCGGGCGCACGGGCCTCGGATCAGCGGGAGGGGGTGGGAGGAGGGCGAGGATGAGATTCTGAGAGGAGGCGAGAGGAGGAGAAGGAGGAGGAGCGGGGGGGAGCAAGATGAATAGGATGAGGAGGAGTTGGAGGAGGAGGAAGCGGAGGAGGAGGCGAAGGAGGAGGAGGAGGAGGAGGAGGACGGAGGATGGAGGAGGAGGAGGAGGAGAAGGAGGAGGAGGAGGAGGAGGTGGCGCCTGTGCCACTGGGTGCCCTCGGGCGTCCCAGAAAAGCAGGCGGGTTGCAGCTCGATCGTCACCCCTGTTTGCCCGTAGTGGGCCAGGGGGAGAGAAAACTGCTCTCGTCGCCACGTTGCGTCCCCCTTGCGGTGGCCCACCTGGTACCCCGCCATGGGCGGGGGCGCGGGTTGCCTGCGGGCGGCTCAGTGGTGGATCCCCACGCATCCTGCCCACGGCTCGGGTGCCCCGCCCAGTGCGCGCGTGCGGGCGGGAGTCGGCCGGGGGAGTGGCGCCCCTCGGCTGGCTTGGGGCGGCACTGGGGGCGTCGTTATCTGAGCCCTTCGGGGCGGGCGCGGCTTGAAAAACTGGCGGTAGGCAGCGAGGCTTGTTCCCCCCAGCTGTCGTGTCTCATCTGTCTGCGCCAGGGTCAATGTACGCTCGGGGCGCCCTTCCCTCAGCGGGGAGGGTTTTTGCTTGCTGCGCCCTTTCGTGCTTGCTCATCAGAGATTCTCTGGCGCGCAAGGTCTTGCCCAAGAGGAGGAGGAGGCGGAGTAGTAGGAGGAGGAGGAGGAGGAGGAGGAGGAGGAGGAGGAGGAGGAGGAGGGAGGGAGGAGAGGAGGAGGAGGAGGAGGAGGAGGAGGAGGAGGAGGAGGAGGAGGAGGAGGAGGAGGAGGAGGAGGAGGAGGGAGGAGGAGGAGGGAGGAGGAGGAGGAGAGGGGCGGAGGAGTAGGAGGAGGAGGAGGACCAGGAGGAGGAGGAGGAGGAAGAGGAGGACGAGGCGGGGTAGGAGGAGGAGGAGGAGGAGGAGGAGGAGGAACGAAGACGAAAGGGAAATGGAGGAGCAAGGAGGATATGATGGAGGAGGAAATGGAGGAGGAGGAGGAGGAGAAGGAGGAGGAGGAGGAGAAACTCCTTCCCACTCCTCCTCCGCCTCCTCGCCCCTCGTCGGGCCCCTCCTCCTCGCCGCGACGCCGCTCGACCGGGGCACGAAGCAAGCGTCTCCAGCTCACCACCTCCGAGCTGCAGCAGAGGCTCCCCGCCGTCCTGGTCCTCCACGGCTTCGCGGACCGCCGGCGCCCGCCGCCTCCGTCGCAGCCGTCGTCGGTCGGGGGCACAGGCATACGGGGGGATGCAACGACCCCCAATCGCCCATTGGATCGCCGATACAGGGGCCCGATGGCCCCAACCTGCCCAGGAAGGCGCGGATTCATCATCGGAGGCCCATCGCCGATCTCTAGGCGATGTTTCGCCGATTCCAGGTCGATGTTTCCCCCCTCCCCCCGGCTTCTGAGGAGCGGTTTGGGGGATGCCAGCCCGTCGGCTTTGGATTCCGCACCCCTCTGGCTTATGCCAGGTCGGCGGCGCGTTCTTGTGGGACGGATCTTGGCCCAGTCAACGGCGCACTGTGGTTTGTTATGTATATATATATATATATATATATATATATTATAATATATACATATGTGTGTGTCTTTAATATATATTATAATTAAATTATTTTAACATATATATATATAAAACACCAAAAACAAACAAACAAACAAAAACAAAAAAAACGGCCCGTTGCCCCTCAGTCGGATCGTCGCCGTCGCCGTCGAGGTCGCCGCCGCCGTCGATGGATACGCTCCCAAAGGGCTCGGCGTCCGAGCCCCTGCGGCGTCCGAGCCCCCTGCGGCCGCCGAGAGCGGGCCGCGGTTCCAGCTCCGGCGCGGCGGGGGCCCAGCCCGCTCTCGGGGGCCGGGCGGGCCAAACGCCCACGGCCCGCGCGGCGGCGGAGAAGCGGCCCTCGGGCGCCGAGCGGGGCATCTAGGAGGAGGAGGAAGAGGAGGAGGAGGAGGAGGAGGAGGAGGCGGAAGGAGGAGGAGGAGGAGGAGGAGGGGAGGGAGGAGGAGGAGGAGGAGGGAGGAGGAGGAGGGAGGAGGAGGAGGAGGAGGAGGAGGAGAAGAGAGGAGGAGAAGAGGGGCGGAGGAGGAGGAGGAGGAGGAGGGGAGGAGGAGGAGGAGGAGGAGGAGGAGGAGGAGGAGGAGGAGGAGGGGAGGGAGGAGGGAGGAGGGAGGACAAGGAGAAGGAGAAGGAGGAGGAACAGCAGGAGCAGCAGGAGCAGCAGGAGCAGCAGGAGCAGCAGGAGGAGGAGCAGGAGGAGGAGCAGGAGGAGGAAGAGGAGAAGGACTGAGCCTCTCCTCCCCCTCGTCCGGCAGCTCCGCCGCGGCCGCTGGCGTCGAGGATTTGGGACGCGTTCGGGAGCTTGGAGGCGGGGCCCAGGGCACACGGGGGTCAGCCAGAGCGCCGGACCTGGCAGGATCCTGCAGGGCCTGGGGTGCACTGACCCAGGCTTGCGCGCAGGATCTGGCGGGATCCTGCGGGATCTTGCAGGATCCTGCAAAGCCTGGCTGAAAGCCTGACTGGCCCCGACAAGCCTGGCCCCGTCTGGGGCTCCGCAGGCCCCACGGGTGGCCTTCGGAGGTCCCCCGGGACCCTTCGCACTTCCTGTCGGTCGTCGTCGGTCGTTGTCGTCCGTCGTCGGCGTCGTCGTCGATCGAGGGCCGAGGATCGAAGTCCGAGGGTCTGAAGTTTGGAAAGAGGGCGTTCAGTGGTCGCTTGGAGGGGGAGGGGGTTGGAACCCGACCCCCCCCCTGGATGGAGGGGGCGGGAGGGGTTCGAACCCCCCCCGTACCTCTCCTCTCTCCCTCTCCTCGGCTGGCGGCGGCGGCGGCGGGGACGACGACGTCCTTTTCTGGACCGGCGCCGGCACCTTCGGCGGCGGGCGGCGGCGGCGAGGAGCGTCGACGAGGACGACGGTGGTGGTGGTGGTGGTGGTGGTGGTGGTGGTGGTGGTGGTGGTGGTGGTGGTGGTGGTGG